TTATATATTTATATAAATAAATATATTTAAGTTAAATAAAATTATTGTTATACAAATTATTTGCGAAATTATCGAAGTGTATATGTGTCTTTTAAAGGGATAAGTCACATATAAAACGTATAAATAATCATATTCTTTTTAAAAAAATATTTTTTTAGAAAAAAACAACTGCAAACTCTTAGGAAAATGCCACACAAACGCCGTTGTTACTGAAATTTAATGTAAAGCTTTCTGATTGCATTTTTTCGGGGATTATACTTCATCTTGCACCCAGATAAATCGACGAGGAAGCAAGAAACCTATCAATCTCGATGATAATGTCGCGTCTAATTGTCACTTCAATTAATATGAGACCGAACGCGACCATGATCGACCGATTGATTGGTCGTACATGATATCCCCCATAAATATGGTGTCATTTCGTAGAATGATTCACCGATGAGCCGGACTGCTTCAAGGACGGTCATCTTTATCATAACTTAAACAGCGCAGAGCTGCATTTTATCACCACTGATGTTAAAATCGCCAAAATTCAAAAATTCCCATTACAACAAATAACGAAAGTCTTACAATCAAATTACTGTCGTTTAAAGAAGTTTAAAATATGTCTTCTTCATATTTGATTTCACTTACAGTTTTTTATAATACTTCTAAATTGATTGATATTTCTAAATCCATCGTATTAGAGAACAAGTAATTAAAGGTACAAATTAATGAAGATGATACATTAATTTTAATCATTATGTGATTTTACTCTAATTTTATTTATCTCATTGTGAATTTATTTCAATCTATAGATTTATCTCACGTAACTCGCTAAAAACTATCGTAAGTTCATATAATTTTTTATATCGGAAAAAATAATTTATGTAAATTATTGAATGAAACAATAAGGATTTTTTACATTTTTCATTTTTGTTAAAAGATAACACTTCATCCTTCATTTATTTGCATCTTTGAAAAGAAGAGCGCACGCGTTCACCTGTGTCATGAGACGATCAGCGCCAGAGCCTTCCTCGTCCTTAAAGATGATGTCCGTGTTATAATTGGGTACCAGGTCTCGGAACCTGGGGTCATATCTAGTAATCCGTCCCTCACTGAGTCCGCTCGCCGGTAAGGTGTTCTCGCTGACATTTGGCACATGCTGTTTGAAGACCAGAGGAGTAAGCTTCCTCAGATTCGGCCGTCGGCCGGCGCCTCTGCCGGGTCCGCACGCCAAAGCAAAACCACTGTTATCGAGCACAGGCAGCCAGAGGCTGAGGAATAACAGAAGAATCTGAAAGAGCGAAGTGCCTACGCGACTCCCAATGGCATAGTGGTGGGTCGCCTGGAGGCCGCGGCGACGGTGATAATGGTGCACCATAATCGCGTGCCTCTGCCTCGAGGTCGACCTTGCGCGGTCACTGCTCTCGTCGTCTCCAGAACGGCTGGGAGAACGACGATGACGACGACAGCGGTAACAACGGCGGCGGCAGCAGCAACAACGATGACGAGGGTGACAATCCGCTTGACGTTCTGCTACCGATTCTTCTTCTCCGCCTCTTGCCACTGACCTCACTCACGCTTAACCATAACCAGGGCATCACACACCCCCCGTGCACGCACTCTTACCACCGATGTGATCCCCGTATTGCGTTGTTAAACTCCGCGCGCGACCGATCAAAAACTAAATGATAATTCACCGAGAGAATCTGAACACGAGCGATCGACAGATCGGCGAAGATTGACTATGGCGAGGCTACTATCTCTAGGAGGATCGAAAAAAGATCCTCTTTTTTTCTCTTTTGATTACCGTAAGGAGGTGACATACGGTCACCACACCGGGATATCATTAACTCGTAATACCAAATTGGAGAATTTACGAGAAGGGATCTTTCTGCATCCTAAATGCTGTCTCACAGAGAATTATTCTAAGCCGAATTTCCTCGATTGATCGACGTTCTCTCTACCGGTACTGGGCCCTTTAAATTCTCGTCGACACGCGCCAAGCCAACACTCCCGTCTTTCCGGAGTGGAACCCTCTGCAATCGTTTTCGTCGAAGAGAAGGTACGTGCGAGTCGACTCACTTGACTGAACTCGGACGAACGACGTCCGGAAGCTAGCGCACGTTTTCCGGACGAGCCGGTGGTGGGAAATGCAGGATGGGTTTCGGTGGGTATTCCTGCGTTGTTTCTTTGGTCTGACCAGGTCCAGGAGTACCCCTCTTCCTGCCCCCACCCCGCGGCAAACGGCCAGCGAGACCACCGCCGCTGGCTGCTGCTAGCTGCTGGTCGGGCTGGTCCCCGTGAGGCTTTCGTGGCCTCCAAAGGTAGTGGTGGATGATCTCGCCCCTCCACCTAGGGCCTCCTGGTACGCGTGACTGACGTCACGAGGCCCGCTGTACCTCTATTGGCCGGGGCGGGGCGTTTACCAGGTAAACGAAGACAGGTGCACGTGACGGGAGGGAGAAAGAAAAAGAAAGAGAAAGAGTTAGAAAGTATGAGAAAGAAAGAAGGGTAAAAGATAACGAAGAAAGAACGAGAGAAAGGAAGAGAAAGATGATAATCTTCCAGTTTTCTTCTTCGACTAGACGCGATCGGTCTCTCATTCTCTTCTACTCATCTTATTCTTCTCTCTCTCTCTCTCTCTCTCTCTCTCTCTCTCTCTCTCTGTTTCTTCGTTATTCACCATCCGCCAGTTTCTTTTTTACTATCTTTCTTTCTTCGGTGTTTCTCGTCTATCGCCGATTGGACTACACTTCTTCTCCGTCGGGCCGTCTTACCTCGTTACTTCGTTCTTCTCTTCATCGGAGTGCGTCGCTTTCTTTACCTATCGCACTCCCTCGGGTCTTCACTTTGTAAAATCTTCCAACATTATACTACGTATATAGGACATCGCGAAAATTTCTAATGGTTTTCTACCCCCATGATAAAAGCAACACGGGATGCGTGGGAGGCTTACAAGAATGACCTTGACGATACTTGGAGCGCTGTAGAACTCTTCGTTCTCTTTTCTTCTTCTTTAGTTTCTTTCTCTTCGCTCATTCAATTCTTTCTTTTTCTAGTATTAGTACTCGTGGTTCAGTTCGGCATAGGTTCGCAATTCCTTCTCATTTTGTAAAATTTTCACGAAGACTGACATTTAAACACTTGGCTTTCGACAATTATTATATTACGCGTAAATTATATGATATAGATGGACATGAATAATAATTAACTATCGTTCCAATTAACTATCATTCACCAGAGTAAATTATTTTCCTTTTTTACGTTATTGTTAATTGATAACTGCGCGTGTGGATGTTGGCTGTTTATTATCTCTTCGAGTACTTTGACACTTTCACGAGATATCGTGAGAAAAATCCGTAAACGAATCGTACCGATTACGGATGTGCGAACGTTGTACGATCATTGATCATCGTTACCGTTCGATCTGTCTGCGAGAAATGCGATTGGTATTTGCACATCGGAGGACCGATTATGTGAGCCAAATACCGTTGATCGGTATTATACAGCGCGAGTGAAATATACGAGACCGGGCACGGCTATACGGCAACTGATATGAAAGTCTAAGTCTACCTCGCAGAGGGTGAACAAGCAGAGAAGGGGGGTATGGCAAAGAGTTCAGTTTACTGATAATAAACATCTTTCCCAAATACACAGACGATCACTAGCCCGTTCGCATTTACACAACATCGTGCTGAAACGTGCCCGCGGCATTCTGGCTATAACTACAACCGCGTTGAAAAGCAAAACTTCGTCCGCGCGCGTCGTGAAATAATATTTCCTAATTCTTGACACTATTCGTATATAAATGCTTTGCGCATATTCGCTCGTCAGATTTCACAGAAAAAAATGAAATAAGAAAGTAAATTGATGATATAAGTTTTGCTTAATGTAATGACACATTCAATCAGTGAAATTATTCTTCAAATAAAAAAAGAAAAATATTTATTTTTCTCATTATATCTAATAACAAATTCTAACTAAATTTGAATCAAATATTTGTTAACACATGTTAACAGATGTATCTAAACTAAACAGATGTATCTAAACGCGTCATGATCATTTAAAACGTGATGATTTTACGAATAAACTTCCGTGAAATAGAAATTAGTTTCAAATTGTTTATCCAGCATTAGATAAAAGAGGTAAAAATGATTTAAATAAAAATGGTAAGATTTTTTTGTATTTTTGAATATGAGGGAATTGAAGGAAATTCCAGAATATAAACAATTTTTATGTTATAGAAAAAGTGTGTTATATTGAACACCTATGTTAAAACTTGCAAAGGTTCTAATAAAATATTCTTAGAAGCAAGAAGGTGATAATACCAGAGTGATAATATCTGTGATAAACTCATAAAGTTTTTGTCGGAAACTATTCCAGCGTTTCAAAACCAAATTTCCACACCTTCTGACATTACATGGACTTGATTTTTTTTTTGTAAATTTTTCTCGGCGGTGCAACCGGAAACACAATGGCCGAATTACGAGCCGTATGCATCGCCCTACGCGGAAAGGGGGAGAATTACGGCCCAATGAAAATATAAAATGTCGCTCGTTAACGGAGCCAATGCCAGAAATCGCTGAAACTTGCTGGTAATAAAAGGTAACGAGTATTCGCGGGCTGTAAACATCCATGGAACGCTACTCCGGAACATTTCATAATCCTGTTACGAGGCACTTTGACTTTCGTGGCCAGCTGCGGTATGTGTATTGTGTACGCGTGTATGTGTAGTTGCGCGCGCGGGGGATTGGAAATAAAATTCTGCTATCGAGGTGCAAGTAACGGCGCGGCGTTGCCGTGTCATGTAAGATCATTGCATCGTGAGAAAATATAAAGGAGAAGAGAATATTGTCGATGATCCTATGCATGGAGCTACGATTAAGATTCCTTCTGTTCGCGTTAGACAGTCTTCTCACTTGTGATATTCGATTCTAGGCTAAGTTATGAGACCAACGAAAATAGCATGCTATCGATTGGTTTTATCGTGTCGAATCGTATCCATATTATATCTAAGTCTTGATTGCGTATGATTCTTATCAGTTTCTTACAGATACGATTTATTACAGATTCTTAACGGAACGTCTTAATATCTGTGATAAATTACATATCTCGTATCTTAAAACGCATTTTCATTCACGTTCAAATCAAATTCATACTCGCAATAATGAACAATGGTTTTCTTTACTGCTAGATATCAAAGGAACACTAGTAATTCAATCCCTCGAGTTACCTAAATAATATTTTGTTTATTTTTCATTCTAGGTTAAAATGCTCAAAGAACACATCAAGTCACGAGAAAGTCAAAATGACTTTATTTTAACATCATAAAAAATCAAAACGATTTTTTATTACAAAATTTGACTTTATTGATGTTAAGAATCAAAATAAATTAATTTGAATTTTTATTGATTTTTATTTTTTTTTATAATCTTTGGGTGTAAATCAATCTATTTCTGTGGTTAGTTTCATAGATAAACATCATCTGTAAATATATGCGTTTAGTAAATAATTAAATTTGGATCAAAGTGAATATATTTTCTTGAATTAAATCGTTTAACTCCATTGTTTTAGTCAAATTAAATAAGAGTTGCAATGGCAATCTATAGATATATTTAAAAATGACTTGAGTATAATTTGGCATTATGAATTTAACAGTGCTTGACGTCAACTAAAAAAAGAGGATTGATTCTGAATTGGTCATAGAACAATAATAAAAATGCATAAATGTAAGACCATTAAATACGATGTTCTATGTATACAACAAAAATAGTAGTTATCAAAACAAAGATATTTTAATCTTTCAGTAATTAACTCGCTATTCAGTAATTAACTATTCGTTGAATCGGAAAATGCCAGTGCAGACCGAAAGTTTTTCTTTAGCCTGCAAATTTCTGTCAGCAAGACAAGCGGTCCACGATGCGCCGTGAATGTATGAGCTCAGCTGTCTCTTTTTCGAAGTAACACGATATCCTGGAGGAACCTAATGTCGAGCAAGCGGAGGTAACACCGACCGAACGACGGTCCGAGTGGGCCTTTCATGTAATGGACGGCTCAAATATTTATCATCGGCCGCGTAATTTAAGGTGCGTTTAGCAAACGGAAGACGACGCGAGGAAAAACAAACAGGACAGGGGCGGTGTAGCATAGCCGATGAGAAGGAGAGAA